TCATTGGCCCGTTTATAGTTCACGTTTTTGGATGAGATGTTTCCCCTCGCCTCTTTCAGCGCTCTGCCCCAGTTAGACCTCACTTTAAATCCGCTGCCCTTTGCAATAGAAGTCCATTTATCTATTTTTGCATGTCTATGGGCTTATTTTGGAAAGACCTCAGTCACAAGGCGGAAAAGGGGGGGGCTGTGTGAAAAAAGCTGCTTTGCCATTGGTAGCAGCTGTTGCTGCTGAGACACCTCTGAGGAAATGGAGAATTGGACACACACTCATCCAATTTACCATTAACAAGACCTTATTGGATGCAGGGCCATAGGAACATGTGGCTTTGCCTTATGCGGCTCTGTTTAGATATGCTGCTGTTCGACGTGTGCGACTGGGGTCTGAGGTAGTCTTGGCACCTTTGTTTGGTGTGGTGTACGTAGTAATCTCAGGTCTGTGAGCTTAAGGCAAGGTGCCCTGTATTGTTACATGTATAAGAAACAAAGCAAGTCTTACAACGAGAATTTATATACAGCAAAAACACAGAAAATGGTACAAATGAGACATTTGGTACTTAACAGTGACCCAAATAACAAGAATTTCATGTCTATGGGCTGAGCCTTGTTAAAACCATTGGTGGGAAAGTCTGAGCTGTAACATGAGATAGTTTCAAACATCTAACACCGAAGCTAGTCTACAAAGACCTGCAAAAACCAGAGATTTCCATCCGTTTTATATTTTCCCCATTTAAAATCCAACCACACTTAAAGCACTAGGTTGTTCTTAAGCTTTTCAACACAGCAGCCGCTGGTCAGAAGAGTGACGTCGTCATCCTCCTCCAAATATACAAATATACAATTACACCATAGACCCCATGAAGCACAGATCTACTTCTGTATGTGCTCAGCAGGTTTTGAATCAGACATATTTTTTTTTTCTTGTGCAACACCTGTGTATTGTTTCTGGCCGGGTAACTTTTTTTTTCCCCATAAACACACCTCACATTCTTCAAAGGGTGGTGTATCGAGGCATATTTGTCTTTCAACACATTTTTTATTCTGCTGGGACAAAAAGATAACAAAAGCATTCTTCTCACAGTTTTGATGGAACATTCAGTTCAGTGAAAACAAACAGCGCTGGTGAGATTATTCACTTCAAAAACCAGAAAAACTGGATTCAACTGTGGCCAGATCACACAGAGAAGAAGTTGAGCAAACCATCCGAAACTGCTGATCAGATTGTCACGATAAAGACCCACATTGTGTTTCTCTCTGATGGAGGAAGAAAAAAAAAAAGAAAAAAAAAAAAAAAAAAAAGACAGGGTTTGATAGAAGGCAGGACTTTTTGCTCAAAAGCACTTTAGCAGAAATGCTCATCACAGTTAATGAGAACAATGTGACTATGACTTTATCACAGACGCTGAGGCAGCTTTTCCTCAGAGACATTTTAGCACTTTAGATTATGAGTTATTAAATGAAGTTCAATAACTTCATTTCAATAAAACCATATCATTTACCCACACTTGACAAGTCCTCTAGATAAGACAAACTGGTGCTTTTCAAATGCTGACGGATGTGTGTTCACATGGTTGGGCCACAAGTTCAAATGAGGCCGTCGTGCTCAAAAATAAACGTGTGCTGAGTTGGGAACGAACACAGTTCCTGTATTTCTGCGAGCTCTGTTTGAAGTGAAGACATTTTCAAAAAAAGGGGGGGGGGAGTGTAATGTTACATGGGAGATGTAATGTGGTAAACACGCAGTTGTCATCTTACAAACACAAACAGAATCCAGCAGAAAGATTAGCGTTGGCCCTTTAAACAGCTTGTGAAAAATGAGCCTCCTGTCGACCACGTTGCATAAATGTTTACTGAGAAATACCAAACATTGTGTTCTATTTGTTTTACTTTGACTCAAGTTTGCCCATTGCCACAGATTAGTCATCCCCGGAGTTAAACACGACTTTGCCAGCGTAACAAACAACTAGTAGCAGACAGCGATCAGAAACAAGTGCAGTAAACGGTTGATCCAGGCTGGCTCATGGCCACGCGGCCATTACCCTTCAAGTAGTTTGCCTCAGCATTGGACCAGAGGTCTCCAGAGTTGAGTGGGAGTGTTTCATCACTTTATAAGTCTTTAACCAAAAGGGGAGAGCTTGGAGCAAAGAATAAATAAAAAAAATCTAATGGCCCCGGCGCTCTCTCAGAGGCCAGAGTAATTCTCATTCCACTTCAATTGCCACAGCGCGGCACCGCTGCTGCTGCTGCTTTCTTGGCAAACGGAGAATTCTTAAGTGCTAAGCTGTAAATTTGCCTAATTTGACGTGAGTCCGAGGGGAATGGGATCATTTTCTTTCAGGGAAAAGGCTGGCATATTGGCTGACAATAAGCTGGAACGGTCCAACATGGTGTTTCTGTTCTGCGATGATGGCTGGAACACACAGCGGACAGCGCTCGACAGAGCTGTAAAACCATTAGATTCTGGCACCGCCGCTGTGTGACTCATTCTCATGTTAATACTGTGAAAGCCTTTCAATTGTAATTTCCGTGGAACAAAATGGTGATTTTACCCTAAAGCCATTTAAAGTGGCTTGTCTGTTTGTACATATTTTTGAATGTGAGGATGCTTAATTCACACATACACACACACCTGTTACTACTCTGTCTTAAATTGTTGTTCATATACTGGTCCACTATGCATATTGAGTCTCATGTACAGGAGGAATCGACCAGAATTATGGTCACAAGATGCAGGAAGTGTCACTCATTTAATTTCTGACTTCCACCTGGGAGCAGTCACAGGTTAAATAAAAAACAGCAAAACTGTAGATACATGTACTTTTTAATACATGGAAACAGGTCAATGCTGCTTCATCATAGAGCAAAACTTGTTACTGAAGTCTGCCATTTTGTACAAATTACATCAATGTCTCATTGTCGAATAACAAAGGATTGAATATTTAATTTACACCCACTTCATACCTGATATCCTCTGTGTATCTATAAAATGAATGGAGATACTATTGATGTACTATTATCTTTAAACTTTGGACCGTTGTATAAATGCACTGGCCATTCTTAAACTTTAGAAAAAAAGTGATCACTAGCAGAGCTTTAGCAACTAAGTAACAACACAACTGTACAGATGGTGAATGATTGCCAAAACAACAGTTAGCCGTGGTAAATTAATAATATTCTACTCTGACACAGGCTGAGTAATATTTGCTTCACACTGATTTCCTCACCTTATGATGATGTTGCAAGAGATCAACTGAGTAAGAAGACATTTCTTGTGACCTTCTCTGGGATTTGACTAAGTAGTTTTGCTGTGAAACTATAGTTTAAAAAAAGCATTAGTGTCTCAGTGGGAATGAGGGTGAACTTGAAATAGCGTGGCGGTGAAACAGAAACATGACAACTGTGGCATTTAAAAAGCAGCAAGTGGCGGTGACTTAAGAAAATTCTTTGCAGGTTGCAGCAGGTTCAAGTTTGGGAGTTTTGTATTGTTTCGGTCCCAACTGTTGCACTACGTCTAAAATCAATGCATTACGATCAGCTTTATTTCTGTTGAATGACTCTTGAATATCACCAGCACCAAACACCACCCCTCACATCACGAGAACCTTTAAAAAGACCGGTTTCAGTGTCACAGCTGTGACCTTCATAAAACAGAGCTGGGCAACAGGTGGGCATCATGTGTGTGCTAATCTTCCACATTATGGTTGTTGATAACAGACACTGCACAGCCCCCGCTCAGTTAAAACTCAGTAATTTAATATGGAATACATCATCAGCAATGTGATATTTGTAGCATGGAAGAAGCAAAGGTTGGGAAGATTCTGCTGATGCTAATAATAGAAAACGTCCATCATTCACTGTGGGTTTCTGTTACCAGAAGAATTCTGTGAGTAACGCAGAGCCTCCAAAACAAGACATTGGGTGTCCACTGAGGGATTTTGGGATTATTTTTTTCACTCGCTCTCCCCCTCCAGTAAGGGCATGAAAATGTGGATTGTATTTCGCTGCGACAATCCTTGCCAATTTTGGAGGACAAGGTCGGTGAATGTGCAGCCTTCCCCCTTTTTCACAGACCACCCTACTGTACCCATCAATCCTCTCACACGAGGCTCATGGTGGCTGGCCTCTGAGCAGCCGCTGCTTCAACGTATACGATTAGAACGCTGTGGGGCTGCTCCTATAGGTCTGGTCAATCTTAAGCTAATTTAACATGTAAAAGTTCAGGGTTTACAAAAGTATAAATGGTCACATACGTGCATGCCCCCCCCCCTCAGGATGGATTGTAAAAAAACTTCCTCTGACTTTTCTACTAGCGCCATCATCAGCTCAATTTTTGTATTTGCCCTTATGACCGAATGTCTGAAGAACGCAGCTGCACTTGTACTACAAAATGTTAGCTAGCATGCTAACACTAAGATGGTGAGCATGGTAAACTGTATACCTGCTGCTAATCATGAGCATTATCAATGTGAGGGTGTTAGCTTGCTGACGTTAGCCTTCAACTCGAGCACCGCCGTGTATCAGTCACGCCTCGTCTTTTATGTACAAGTTGTACAAGAGTTGAATAGCTGCGCTAACAGAATATGAGGCCCATTGTGAACGCAAAGAGCCATGAAGATGTCAGTGTTTGAACTCTCTATCCCCCTTTATTTCCCCCCCCCCCCCTCCCCCTCTCCTGCCCGCTAGCATGATTCAGGTGTTCCACAGTCAGGCCCTGTGATTAGTCTAATTTGCACAAACGCTGGCGAGCGCCGCACCTGTTGCCTGTGCGCTGCCTGCAGCCGTGGTCCCTCAGCAGGCTGACAGGCCTTCCCTTGGATAATCCAATCTCCTCGTAACGGTGTCGCTGCTCTCCACCAGCACAGGACAAGGGCATTCTTTTGTTTGTTTTTACCTAGTCCCCCCCTCTGTGTTCTCGTGGCCCACTATGCTCCTGATGGGTCATTATTGGACCATTCATAAATACTGCCACCCAGCCACCCCCCCCCCCCCCCCCCCTTTTTTTTTTTTTTTTTTTTACAGCTTGCCACTGTCCCCCCCCCTAACTGCTCCTCACCAGCGCTCTCCTCTACCTGCCAATAAGTTGAGTGAAGCTTTCCTTCAGGTTCAAAAGGGGCCCTACAGCTTTCCACATGACAGCCTTCCAGTATCCACATACTCACTCCATTTGGATTTGAAACGGCGCCAGGAGAAAATCAAGTGACACAGGCCACACAGAGAGGGAGGGAGGGAATGTGATCCCACTTGATTGTTGAGAGTTTATATAGCGAGTGATGACAAAGTGCTTTATGACTTTGCAGTGTTCGCTGGGGCCTTCGATTGAAGCCTTATACAGGCAAAGCCCCCCCGCTGACCTTGGCTTGTCAAATGTTCTCCTTTTCACCAGGAAGGAGCGAGTGTTCAGCGGCTGCTCAGAGCCGGTAAGCTGCTTTTAGAGAGACAGCCGCGGAGAGCTTTTGGAGGTGACCCGTGCTTCCTTACTTTCACAGCTGATAACACTATTGAGGAAACGCATCAGTCAGAGAAAGGTTTGGGCCAGCTAACCCATTGAATCATTAGCATATGTTGAAATATTAAGCAAGGAGACTGCTGCCATGCACGCGGCTCTGTGAGGCTGTACTTGAGCCTAATGCTAACGGCAGCATGCTAACGTGCTCACAATGACATTCTGATGTAACAAGTATAATGGTCACCATTTGACCGTTGTCTTGAAAGGCGGTTAACAGATGTTGATAACATCAGTCCAAACGGGGATTCCCGAGGAGTATAAGGATATTTCCAGAGGGGCAAAGTGACCGGTGGAGTTCCAAAGGCCGTGTCACAAATCAAGTATTACATGAGATTGCTCCCAGCTGCACACCACGTGCTCTTTATCTCACAGGGAAGAGGAAATAGGAGCATTTCTTCCTCAGGCCTCCTCTTCCTGCATTGTCCGTGACCTTTTTCTATGCAAATCTTTACAGGGCAATTCCCCTCGGAGGGAGATGTCATGAAGCCATGTTGGGTGGAGCGTGAAGCTTCAAGAACCGGACCTATGCTGCTAGGATATGAAATATCCTGAGTCAGTGTGATGGGAAAACAAAAGCTGGACCGGGATCAACGCTCAAGAAGCAGTTTTAAACGAGTAGAGACGATGCGCGCGTGGTGAAGAGGGATCACGGTAGCCCTCTGACTGGCTGCAATGGGCTAACAACACTTGCATTGATCCAAGAAGACACCCGGCCCTCTAACCTGCTGAGTGCTCAGTTCCAGTGAACAATGGAGTTCAGAGTGCGTCGATACACTACCCTATTGAGTGCTCTCCGTTTAGCAGCAAGATTGATGAGGTTAAGGCTCCCAACCGGGGAGCCAAATGGTGTCAAAACCAAGGTGTTGCTTTGGACTAACAATCCTTCACTGCACTACCAAGCTGAGAGGCGCTGGTTACCGGCTGATACGCCAGCTCGACCCAGGAAGTGTATTTACACAGGCACAAGGTTTCTGAAAGGGTATGCAGACTCTGGTGGATGTTGTTAAGATTTTTGAAATGCAAATGAAAATATGAGGGTAGAATAGATGGTGCTTTCTGGACAGGAATGCACTGCAAATCCCCCAAGACACTAAATGATGTACAAGTGGATTTATTACAGTCGGTCCCTATAAATCTAAGGTTGGCCTGAACTCCAGGGAGAGGTTAATGGATTACAAAGGGATGTGGTATCGAACCTCAGAGAAGTTTATACACCTCATCAATATGTGAAACGCTATTGATCATTTAGACCCGGATAAATTAAATTCATACACTTGATAATGCACGGCAATATTCAGAATTCCCTGGATGTGGAAAAATTGGCTTTTTCAGTCCAGCTTTTTTTGGGGGGATGAGAATCTATGGTGGGATATTGTATCAGTGGCAGTGTGTGACTTGAGCTGTATCGTCAATGCTCCCAGAAACCAGCATCCACCCTCTTTTGCTAAAAAGTACATCAAAAGGAATAACTGAAGTTGAGGATTTTGGAAATATCTGGTATGAATTAATGCTATGGATCCTAAGTCGCTCATACAGTACACTCCCTACATGTTAGCATTTTAGCTACATCTAAAGCAGCATCCCATCAGGCCATAGCTTGTGTGAGGGGAGACTGATTCCACCAAACATTGAGATACAGTTGAATGAAAGTCAACACAACAAGTCATCCATCTAGTTTCAGGTGGAGCTCTAAGGATAAAGCAATGACTCAGTCCAACATTTTAGATGCAGAGAAAATTATCTGAGTATTTCTTTAAACTATTGGAAGAACTCCCATTTAAGGGGAAATCCAACAATTGTACAGGTATGGATAACTACTGTGTTGTAAAAAGCCTTTTGTGGCTAAACAGGGAGCTGCACCGAATCTGATAATAGGCTAGCCGCTAGCTAGAGGCTAAACTGCTACTGGCATTACACACTGGATTCCCTGAGTTGCATTGTGGGTAATGCAATTGTGGGTGCTGGGTTTTGACAAGAGAGAAGAACGTGTGAAAATAAAAAAAGACAATAGTGTGCAATGCTTAACCGTGGGAGAACTCCATCAAATTAGATACAGATATTCATACATGTTACATGTACTAGCATGTTAATAGCTAAGGTACATGTTGTAGTTAGTATCTTATACAAGTTAGCAACAATAATGCATGCAACTATGCTGAACCATTTGTAGCATTGGTATCGATCACTTATACTTAGGGCTTATTTCTTTAAGTATGCTTAGCATGTTTTACCTGAGTGTAGCTGGGATTGAGAAGGAACAGCTTAGACAATGTAGCACTGAACCTGACAAGCGGACTCTGAGATGTCCTAAAACGGACACTAATGAGGACGAAGCCATCGGATTTAGGTTACCATTTAACAATCAACATTTTCACCCCACTGGTGGTAAGAATTAAAGCTCACCCAAACAATCTCTAGATTAGCAATTGTGTTTTTGCATTACAACCTCACTGAACTGCTAGCATGGCGATAGACTTATCGTGTTATTAGTTCACAGTTTATACAGTAAATGGCACATGGTCCCTCTTTTCACCCTGGTGAAATCAGTTTCCTGGGAAAAATCCCAGCATACCTTTTGTCTCTGCAATCATTATACAACCTCTCCTTTATTGTCCTTCTCTCTGCCTGTCTCACCCTGTTGGAATGAGCAAAAAGTATTTATTTCAAAATAAAGCCCTTTATAAAAATTACATTTAAGTCTATAATGGCTTTCCTCATCATATTCAATGCATTTGTTTTTTTTTTTTTAGAAAGCCCTACTCCCACACCAACAACCGTCTCTAACCGTCTCAACTGACTCTGACGATCCACCTATGCAATGAAAACAACACTTATAATGTGAAACTATGTCACTCATCAATTCCAGAGAGAAAGCTCAAAAAGGTTTCATGGCTTTCTGAAAAGTACAGTAGGGTTCTCATCTGTATCTGAGACACAAATTACAGCCGGTTCAAAGAGACAGAAAGCTCAGGAACCACAAATATATCAGAACCTTTGACATAAAATGATTTTAGAATTTGGATATTCATGCATGTTGGATTTGTATTTCCTGGATGTACAAGGCTCAAACTTGGTTAGCAGAAGTTCATTTTTTTATATTATTACCGAACTCAATTTTTAGCCACATAGAAAAAAAATACTTGTTACTTGATATGAATGTTGCAGAAAACCATCCTGCACCTGAACACACACAACCACATTCCAACAAACATCTCAGAGAGATTTAAAATGACGACTGCACAACAGACTTAAAGGACAACTTTTTGTGTGATTTGAGTTTTTGTTTGTTATCGAGCATTCTTTTTTGTTTCATTTAATATTAATTGGACGGATGGACATACACATATGGTATATTTCACTCAATTATGATTCAGAACTGGAACATTGTTCTTTACTGCAAGTCAAGTATTTTGCTGTGTGTGTGTTTCAAAATATATACTTATGCAAAAATATAAACGTGGAAAATCCCTGTAATACTAAGTTGAGCCTTTAAGAGTAACATACAGCAGCATGTATTTACTGTCCAGTGGGTTTAAAAGGAAAATATAAGAGATTCTACTTGAGATAAAGATTTATTACACTGTTGTACAATTATGGGCCGACGATCAGACAGTAATCAGCAGGTTACAGAGAGGACCAGTCACTGGTTCTACAGTGGCTACGAAACAAAAGTTACACCTCTTGATTATGTACTTCTTTAAACCAACCTTAGTCATCCATACAAATTCAGCTCTACATAAATCAAAAAATATATAGTTTACAGCATACTGTATTGTTGTTGACTCCTCATTTCAACAGAAACTCGATCAACATCACCCGACTGAATCTGTCGGTTAAGACGGGTGAAAAAAGAGCAGTGCCCCTCTACCTTTTCTGTCTTGCTATGAAGGCCATGTGATGGAGGTGGAAATGGCACCAGAGCTGATATCCCCTTCTTCTCATTCATGGACTCTTCTTGTTAGCTGGAGACAGTGAGTACAGAGTGAGTAATTCAATAAGTCAAGTATTCATTTATTACTTTCCTTTTCAATCATGGGGCAATGTTTTTCTTCTAACTTCCCCCATCCACCTCCACACTTGAGAAAAGTGATACAAGTTCTGCAACTTCCATCCGTGGCAGCCCTCGTTGTCTTACTGCAGCTTAATTATAAAATATTGCCGCCGTTTTCTGTAAAGATTACTCACTGTAGGAGGCCCTACGTAATTTGGACCGCAGGGTTTGTCACGGAAAATAATACAATGCAACTGGGCTTTCTGTATTAGATTTCCGCTTTTAGCCTCCTTGACATTTCAAGCTGCATGAACTAATACATCTGTTATTTGTTGATCATTTGATTATTAACATACTTCACAAACCAAATCAGCTGCCCTGCTGGAGACGCAGAAACAGCTCAGGAGACCGTCTGGGTTTTCTCGCTTGCAAAAGATGCACAATTCAGCCGCACAGTGAAAAACGGAAAGCGGGGGGGGTAAAAAAAAACAACTAAAAAAAACATTTTATCTTCTTCCTCCTTTGAGCGAATGAGCACTCTGACACCGGCATGGAACAAAGCCCGTCATCACATTCTAATCTCGAATTTCAGGGCTTTTATTTCACCCAAATGCCACCCCGCTGGCCTTGTGAATTATTGACAGACTGACACCAATGCGAAAGGACACATAAAAGAGGCTAAAAGCTCCGGCCCTGGAAGAGCTTGTCCTCTCCTATTGCCGTCAACAGGGAGAGAAACTCTGCTAATGCTTCTCTGGGAGCTCACGGTAACTTTGAGACTGAAGTGCCAACATATGACTCCTGACCTACAGCTGCACTATACAGGAGAGAGAGATTGTGTGCAGCGCTGCTCTCTTTGGTCTTTATAAAGAACCGTAGTACAGTTACAAGGACACCAAGGCAAAGCTGTGAATTATCTGATCAAAATGATGAAATTAAAAGCAGTCACTGCACACAGCCTTTTAGAGTCATTCGGATTTGACTGTTGCTCGTCGTTTCCTCTTTCAGAGAAACGTCACACCATGGTATTTGGCTCGGCGTGCAGTCATTTAGTCTGCGTGATGAAAAGTAAATCGAGGTAAGCCGTGTGTCAACTAGACACTCCAGTATTTGTCAGTTTTGCGTCTTCTCACGCCCACGCCTCATTTTGCTCAAGATTAAGATGTTAGAGAAACAAGAGGAAACAGACAGTGAAGATGGATTAAAAACAAAACAAAACAACAAAAAACACAAAAAAACAAAACAAATGTGAGCGGAGAGGAGCATAATGAAACAAAGCCGTCGGCAGAGATGAGAAGCGGTGTTTGGAGAGTGTCTTTGCGCTTTCTACTGCTATCTAATCCACCTCGCTCTCATTGCTGGCACCCTCGGGCTGCCTCAGTTTGTCCACCTGTTCGTTAATCTGTCCATCCCCACCACGCCGATCCACTGTCTGCATGCTTACATCGTCCTCCTCCTCCTCCTCCTCTACCTGGCTGAGATCATCCTCCTCTTCTTCCTCTTCTTCCTCCTCCTCCTCCTCCTCCTCCTCCTCCTCCTCCTCCTCCCCCTGTACCTCCATGCGGTCCTTCAGGTCCAGGGCCTGGGTTGCGCCCTCGCCCACAGCGCTGTCGTCTTTGTCGATACCATGCACTCCATCGGGCCCTCCCAGTGCATCCTGGGGGCTGTGGTGTCCATCTCTGATGGGGGAGGAGCTGGCGGACTCGTTGCTGACGGGGGAGATGTCGCTGCTGCTGTTGGTGTGGTTGACTGGCGACGAGCCGGGTGCCGAGGGTGGCTTCAGGGGAATCTGCCATGAGGGGATTTTAGGAATAGCGGGAGTGGACGGGAACTGTCTCCTGTAGAAAACGAGAGAGAGGAAGATCACGACCTCATGAAAAACCTCACTGTGATCAAAATGTGTGAAAAGAGCTTTCCCACGATCAGCTGCAAAACTACACATAGCCTCCTTAGTCAGGTGTTGAATGAGAACATATCTTCAACACCAGTTTACATTTTAGCATGCAGCCACACACACAAAGCACCGTATGAAAATCTCATAATTACAGATCAGAAAATGGCTTCCCCCCCAAACCGCCAGATGTTTGTCACACCTGGTAAAGATGCTCTGAGATTTTTGTTTAATCACATCCACTGCAGCTTTTAAGATCAAAAAGACAACGTTGAATCGTAATGGGATAGGCGCTTCTTAGTGTTTAAAAAAAACAAAAAACAACAGTTTGCAGATGATTTGGATCATTTCAACAGGAAGGGAACACGCTTGGAAACAGATGGTGATTCAGAGCCTTTAGTTTGTGATTCAAGCCTTTGCCAGAAAACTCATTGTGAGAGTTGGGATGAAGTCAGGAAAGCAAATGACAAAGAGGATATTATTGCTGATTAGAATGTACGAGGCGAACAAAACATGCTCAACTACACAGTTCTGAGGCAATTTTCGTCCTCGCCGGTTTTCTGATGTACACCACCTACTTCAGGCTTCATTATGGACACTGATACATAATCATGCATGCTAATGGGGGCCTGACTGAGCTGGGCTGCGCCTGACTAGATTGGGGAACAAAGATGGGAAGAACGAGGGGATGTCTGGCAATAGACAATGAGACCTTTAACAACACAGAATACTTTACACCGCGCATAAGCAAGTGGCAGGTGGGTCGGATAAGATTTTACACCGTAAACAAATAAAATGATTGATTGGAAAAGTATCTATTTTACCAGGACACAGCTAAGTTTTTAGTTCATATAGGTCATTTCTGTATGTGCCCATAAAAGGACTGAAGTTGTATAGGAGCAATTATGCACGTGTTATTTTGCTTACCAATAAAAGCAATAAAACACAGAAGACCAGCTGATGCCTGCAGTATGCTAATCGACCGAGGCAAGTTGTGAAGTAAAAGAAATGGTGCAATCAGTATTATAACCTCCAGTGCCTGTGAGATTAAACATATTTGAGATTAATGATTATGTTTTTTAGTGTGCGAGCAATTTGGAAGAGCAATGTGACAATCCGTGTTCTTTTATTTTATTTATTTAGACACAAGCACAAACTTCCAGGCCATCAACAACAGTGTTCTGTAGAAGCGGCTATATAATGATGGTTGCGTGATGATTGTTTCGTAGTAACTATGTCATCATTGTTTCTGCGATCTAAACTCAGAACTCCCGAAACCATAAATGTATTTAAATGATGAATCTAAAGGTTAACTTCTCCCTAGAGCTTTCAACCACATCTCACAGTCTTCTTACACACCGTAATACAGTCAAAGTGTTACATTTCCCCAAAGCTAAACTTGTGAGGTGCAAAAAGACCCCAGCGACCATCTACCATTTGTTCTGGTCTTGTCCTTCTCTGGTCATCCTAATTTGATACAATTTCCAACAGTTATGGCTGTAATATTATCATCAAAGAGAAGATGCAGAACATTAAGCTGGCGAAAACCAGATGCAGCCTCAACAGCGTTTTTTAGGATCTGTACTAGCACTAGCATAGGCCATTATTCCTGGGGTCCTTACGCATACCTCACAAACCTCCGCTGAGAAATGACGCCAAGAAACTGCAGTTCTCTTAAATGGCCTCTTGAGGCTGGTACAAAAATGCCAAAACTTTACAGCAGAAATAAACATGTTTACTGCCTGGTACGAAAAAACAAAACATTTTTAAAACATAGAATCAATCGAGGATGATTAGTTGAGGACGGTTTCTTCAAACACTAACCATGACCCTTGAATGGGAATGTACAGTATCTGTCATTTTGCAGCATTTAGAGCAGTCAGTTGATCCCTAAACCACACCGTATGGTTCCATACTTCAGTCACATGACGACAACAACAGGGCTCCCACATCGCCCACCAACCGGAGCACATTCTTTCATTTTACAGCCTAACATCACGATAAAATATGTTTCTGAAAACATTTGAGGACATAAATAGGCAATGCAGTGAATAAATCTTTATTCATATTTGATCAGCGCTGCCTAGTTCAACAGTTTGATCGGAGTTCACGAGCTTAAGGAGCAGTGATTGACAGCTGCGTTAGAGACTCCTTTCCTTCGGGCGCAGGGGATTCTTGCAAATGCCATTAGGAGCACTGAGAAGAGCCGGAAGAACCTGATTTATTCACAGATCGTCTGTCTTGTGTACTTCTGTCAGGATACAGTGACAGTAAACCTACTGAACCTTGAATCTGTCAATACCCAGTTATTACATGTGCAAACCCCCCAAAATAAAGTAGGGATAACAGAAAAGAGCAACATGGTGTTATGTGAACAGTTAAAACATATTTTAATGTCAGATATAAATGTAATGTGAGCTTTGTTCCTGTTTAACACCGTCAAATGGTTCAAATGGACTGCATGCAGGATCTCAAAAGTGCATCAAAACAGTCAGTGGTTGGCCCTTGAACGCGCGCACGCGCACGCACACACACACTTTCATGTGTTTCATTCTGTGACGGTGATCTGGATAACTTTGTTACCTGCCGAGCAGTAAGCCCTTCAAAGAGACGATCTCAGCCTTCAGCTCTCCAACTGTTTGGTTGTCCAGAACGCGGTAGGTTGAAGACGATGTCTATTGGAAACACACAAGTGAGACACACACAACAAATGTCACACACACACACACACACACACACACACACACACACGAGCACTGTTCAGTTCACAGGCAGGGTTGGAGGACAAAGTCAATACACATCTTTCAACAACTCCTCTGTGCTCAGTCTCAACAACATGATATAATAAAAAAAAGCTTTGTTTGGAGAAAAAAGGACATTGGGTTCAAGGTAAACAAATATGGTAAATGCAAATGCTGAAAGCCGCATGTTTTTGTGTAGTCGGGTCATTCATCACCATAACAACCTGGGCCAACGGCCTACTGCTGGTGATGACGTACAATCCCACTGCAGTCACCTTTATGGCCTCGGCTGCTCAGAAAGTCCAGTGAGTGTGAATCATGCTGTTTTTACATAATTTTCCATACTATCTAGAACAGATTAGGCCAGTGTCCAGTGTTTTGGATAATTACTTTATCTGGAACAATGGCCACATTCATGAAGGTAGACCAAAGCTGAGCAGTTTGTTTTGTTCTTTTTGTCTTTTATCAAAAGGCGTGTTATATCTCTCTCTCTCACACACACACACACACACACACACACACACACACACACACACACACGTGTTACAGGGGCATAATGGCAAGTATTTGAATGGCAAATTGCTGCCAAAAATCTGTCTCCGCAGCACTTATTTTAGGGATAGGCAGGACTTTGACAGAGCGAGCTATGAAATGATGAGTTTTCAGAAAAGCCTTGAGGAGAAAAAATGCAATCGTGCTAAAACTGGACGACAGCTGTTGCAAAGCCTTGTAGACTTTTGGGTTCCTGCAAAATGAATGAAAATCGTCTAGCAACTCAAACAGGGAAGACAGTAAAGGCCCAACATGGAGGTCAAGATAACTCTGAGTTTGTGAGATATTTTAAAACATAAGAGAGAAGAAGAAAAAACATTTCTACTACATCAAACCGTTGCAAGTTGTACCTCCCCAGGGCGCTCAAAGCAATCCAAATCAAACAGTCATTGGTTGAACCGCTCACAGACAAATGCAACTTGTGACGAGGCATCATGAGAAGGCGTTGCTTGTAAAGAGTCTCAACACAAAAGACTGGGAACCAGTGATGTAGATAATTGTTCCCCATACACAATCCGTTCCTGAATAAAAAGCACAAACATGTGCAAGAACTGATGACTGATGAGACCAGAGGGAAGAGAGGGAGAAGACAAGGGAGAAAGTGGGATAAAAGAAAAGTAAAAACTCTAATTAAGACTCTCCTGACTCACCAGAGGAAGCTTGTTAGGCAGCGTGGACCCCCTATCGAGGGGAGAGGGATAACTTGGACTCTTTCGCTTGTAATTAAATCTAAGAGAAATTAATTGAATCACTTCTGAAAGGGATCAGACTCATTTACAGTGGAAGGAGGGACGCAGAGGAGGAGAAGTGAAGGGAGACAGAAAAGGAGACTTTTTTGGGCTCTTATCGACTCCTAAACCTCGCTGATAAGGAGCCCCGCTTTAGAGGCGGTGCATTGGAGGCCTGCTGAAGACACTCTTATTACAGCCGTCACCTCATTAGAACCATCTTAATCCCTCGCCTCCCCAAGGCCCCCGTATAATAAGGCTGGATTCTGCTTCTCTCTCATTTTACATAAAAAAAAAAAAAAAAAAAAAGAATTAATTGCTGTATGGGCTGAGCGAAAAGACTTCCAAGGCACAGAATCATCTTAAGATATATGCAAATTGCTCCAAATAACTGAAAATTATTATGTCACTTAACATAAGGGGGAAAAAAAAAGGGCTTTAGAGTAGAATTGTTAAACCGCCAGCTACATAATGTGCATTATCCACCGAGCAGCACCCTATAATATCTCACATCAAGACAACAACACTACCACTGACATACGTCTTATTAAGTCTGAAGAAACCTAATTAAATGGTGGACCAGGACTGGATTTCAGCTTTGAAATACATTATGTGAATGTACACACACACACACACACACACACACACACACACACACACACACACAGTGTAAGGATCTTGTGTTAAGTGCACTAGCTGCTTGGGCGGAGGCTGAGTGGAGGGGTATCAATGACGGGAAAGATTGAAAGAAACGCCGCTGACTTTAAAAGCCCCACCTGAAGTGTTGACACATATCCAATCGTACGTGTGTACGACGTGATGTTTTAACAAACTGCTGATCAAAATATTTAACTTCTGCAATGATTTAGTGGCTTTGGCTACAAAAGCACCATCATCAAGAAGACACTTGCAGGTCTGTGGATGTACAACAGTTAATGTTTGACTGTGCGATGCAGAATAAGACCCCTATGTTATTATTCTTACTATCAATTTATTTCTTTTTATGCTTGACTTTATTGTTTTGCATATGTATGCTATTTTACAATGTATTTTCTTCTTTGTATATACGTTCTCGCATTCCAAAATCTTTCTATTGTTTAAGTTGTATCTTTATCTATCAATTTAATTAAAAGATATTTCAAACGAACATTAAAATTTGTAATTAACCTTAAATATTGCATGTATAACTGGAATGCATTTTGTATTTCCTTGGAGACGTGAGTTAAATGCATACATCTAAATGTTGACACAGTGATTCTCCTGCTGCTTCCTAGGATGTGGACATATAGATGTCTAGAGGCCTTTGGCTTCGTACATGTACGACCTCTTTATTGCCTATTTATTACTCCATGTTCATGCCCTATTGAATCATTCACTTGACCCAACTGGTTCTGGAGACGACATGTGACAAGTTCACCCTGAAGAAGGCAACATCTGCAAAACCGAATTTAGATTTAAAAGTAAAAAGATCCCAAGTTCTGAGTGCACTTGGCTCTGGTGTTTGACTTCCATCATACTTCCCGATGTACAGGTGCAGGGCTCTGAGGGCTCTGTGTGGCCTTAACGGTGGAGAACATAATTCCCCACCTGGCACTGCACATCGCAGAAAGCATCGTGCATGAACAAATAAACAAACAAATGAACCAACCAACCAAAACCAACAGAACAACTCAACCTGAAAGAGAGGTGCCACCTATTACATTATCAAGCACCACTGTGCCGGCTGGATGTGTTTTCTTCTTCTGTTTTTCTTAGTGTGTAAATACTGTACGTGGTAAAGATTCACTCTAACCGGTTTAAAAGTCGTGTCACTAATATGTCTAGGGCGGGTGCCTGGGTGTGTTCGGGGTCGGCCTCTTTCCGCCGGTTAAGTAAGTGCTTCAAGAAGAAGAAAAAAAAGGAAAAGATTTCACAAGCAGAAAAAAAAAAAAAAGAAGAAGACTATCAACTCTAGCAGCACCCAAGGACGGCAACGCATCTGGTTAAATGAAGATAAATGCCTGTGGACCATTAGCAACAAGATAAGATCTTTAACAAGGCTTGTTTAAGAGTGTCTGAAGGCAAATTAATTCACAGTTACTCCGCCGGCAGACAGTGTGTTTTCGTGTAACGCATGTATATTTATGATGGAATTAGTTTCAAAAGGAAGTCCCCAGAGGAGTGTTTTTGAGTGGAAACTCTGGTACAGTGCAATTGATTTCTCTCTATTTATGCACTTTCCCACTGGCAGTTCGTCTCGCGCAAGCAAGGAGGCGGTTTCTAATCTTCTATGTAGTATCCACTAATAAAGAGAACGATCAGTGAGTTGAGACAGCAGGGAAAACACAGCTAACAGGCAGATTTGTAATGATAATGGAGCAGAAATAGACCAGGCTGCTTAACATCAGGGCTGAATCATCCTCGTGGCAAATCTATCCTGAACACCAGTGGTGGTAGAATGCAGCAGCATGTCTTTAAAGAGTTGTGATAACCGGGAAAATAGTGAAAAAGAGAGGAACTGTTTCAGGCTCTGACATCTGGAAATGTGCAGCATCAGCGCGTGCTCTGTGTGCGTGGACATGAGTCAGTCTGTTTAAACTCACTTCCATAATGAGGTCTCCAGTTTAGGGACAGTAAACGCACACCGCATTGAGCGGTTTCAAACCTACGAGAACTGTTTTCTTAGCAGCTGAGGAACTAGAAGGCTCCATGTGTTTCGGGTTAAAGGCACATTTCCGCGTTGAGAGGTATAATTAGTAAGCGTGGCGCACTTTGAGCAGCGTGGTGAGGCAAACCCCCCGAAAGCCGCAAACGGTGAATGATAAGTAGCTCGCCAGCTCCAACATGTGTTTCTCATCAAACATCACGGACCTGAAAACAATTTCCCAATTTCCCCCGTGGCCTGCGACAACAGAGGGCCTTGTGCCGACTCGCAGGGAAAATTTAAGATCAACGCTATAGCTATAAAGCAGAGTTTATGATTTGTTTAATGGGTGTTTTGATGTGAATTATACTTTTTATACACTGCCGCTGTCCAACAAGGCACTCGTAGCAAATGAAGTAGATACTTTTTAATCCAATCTGTGATCTGGTTTTGACAAATGGAAAGAGAAAACATCCCTTGTCCTTTAGAAGCTGGAGGGAACTCATTGTTTGAAGGGGAGGCTACAGTCTGGCTGACAGAAAACCTTTCATAATTTTCAGATTTCCGATGAGCGTGGGGTCGAACCGGATCGTACCTCACACATGCTGATCTGAGCCGCCGTTGCTGCTGCTGCTGCTGCTGCTTTTGTACGCACCGCTCAGAGAGACTCCGGCTTAGAAGTTGAAACGGCACAAAATGAGCTATGAGTCGTCAGTTTTTGATGAACCTCATCCAGGGAAGAGATTCATATTTTTCTTCCTCGTTTGTGCCGAAGCAGATGTGTCCGCATATGTTTTCCTGTGATATCCAGATGCTGCAGCGAAACACCCATGTGCTTAACAAGCTGTGGACATAAAACATTGTCTAAGATCGTCTCTTCCAAGGCACTTTTTTTTAGAGCCCAGAGATCATAAAGCGATTTACGAGCGGTGTTATAAAAAAGCAAGCAACATTTCATCCCTGCACATCAGTTTTTAGACCAATCACTCAAACCGATTCACCTAAACACTTACAATTCTGAGTAGATTATGAAAACGGTCTATAAACATCAAGCCTAGGAGGAGCGACAATATGGTTAAAGATGATGGTCCCATGATGAGATGCACCATACTTTTTCGCAGCTTGTGTTCTGATGATATACAGTATAATAAGGCTGTCCGTCTGAGCTAGTTATGACTCGGGGCAGTGCAAGAAATTTTAGTACGCAGAGGCCTCGAGAAACCCTTTCTCTCTCCTCATCAATCTGGAGATTTCAACTGGCAACTTTACTTTCACTGAGCTCTTCTGCAATTTCACGAGTTAGTGCCCGTCTAGCTTTTCTCAAAAACGTTAAATCACACACACAACGGACCTGGAAGGTGCAGTCCGTTACTTTCATGTTCAAACTACACGACAATCGTTTCAACTCATTGTTGTTACTTTGCCGAAAATATATAATATCACAAATATGTAATTTATTGAAATGATTAAGTTCGATGTTACCGGTGTTTTCAAAACCAATAGGCGAGGCACCAGATTAACATTTAGGGTCATCGCCAACAGCAACAAATGTGGCAGTATCTGCTTATCTGCTGTCACTAAATGACGTAAAAACAACTCAAATCTGGAGTAGGATACGGTGATGCAAAAAAAAAAAAGCTGGTAGCTACCTCTGATGCAGCCAGTTCCTGCGAGAGCTCCTGGATTCTCTGCTGCTGCTGGATCAGGAGCTCCTGGACGGAGACCAGGGTCTGTTGCAGCTGGCTGACTGTGGAAACAAGATGATAAAATCAGTTCTATAAAGTAAAAAAGGAAGTCAGATTGTGTGAGAATGCCGTTTGGTTGCCACAGAACTGAACATTTTCTTTCAAGAGTTGATGACAGAACTGATGAGACTCAACTTGTGTCACTGATCAAAGGCGTCCTCTAAGAATTGTAATCAAAGCTAATACCCGGTAACTTAAGTCGCAGCTTTTTGGTCCGAGGTGCTGGGGGTAGAGGGTGGGAAGGGAGGAGGAGGGGGGAGCATATAGGATGGAGATATTAATCTCTAGTGCCTGAACTTAAATCAAATAACAGTCTCTAACCTTCCATTATCCATCCAGACACTGCCTTCTAATGCATCTTAAATCCTCAAACGATCAACAAAGGAAAAAACAAGGCTCTCATTTGGGAGGAGGCTGCCAGACAAAATGTCCCCCCTAATCCTAATAAATATTGTTCTTTTTCCATTGACTTTGAAGATTGAATTAGTTCAAGTGTTGGTGTTGGACGAGGGTGTATGATTTCAAATAACACCGGGCACAGTTTGTTGCCCCCTGCTTCCAGTCACGCGTGTATTACCAAACAATGCATTAAGTTTCCCCGAGCTGATTATATTACAGAAAACCAATAAACATTCATATAAATCATGGGCGTGTAAAGTGTTAAATCAAGCCTAATAGGATTAACATCAACAGATATTGTGGCGGTCCACTGCTGAGGTTGTCAGGCCGATGGTTAAAAGCCTGCGCTGCAGCCGGCTGGACGGGAGGTAAAGAACCCTCCTCTCACATTAACCCAGGCCGGGACACAACACAGAGCCCGGCTTGGAGTCTGTGTTTCTTTTGAAAAACCAACACAGACAAAATATTTGATCTTTCAAAGAAGCTAATATCTCGCAGTGACACCTGTGTTTAAATGGGTGGGGTTGTATCAATATAGGTGGGGTGCAGAGAAACGTTTGATCTTTCCGTGCTTGCTAGAATCCTATGGAATACGAGTTTGAGCAGGATCGCTGGTTAGAGCCAAAAAAAAACCCATTGTGCAAACAATTTGAGTTCGTTACTCAGCCTGAGCTCCCGAGTGTGACCAGCCTTTCTGAAAACGGTAATAAAACTAAAATACCACGGCCATCCCTGTTTAAAAAAGGTGTTACTATGACAGGGTGTGCACGCTAAACCAAGAGCTGCCCTATTAGTCTCCGATTCCACCTCGCCGCAAAACAGCTTATCCAGATGTGTGCGTCGGTCTGCCAGGCTGTAACGCTGCGCCTCCTGAATTACCACTGGCACCGCTTTTTTCAGCCACTTCAGCCAAACAGTCCGACTCTTTTCATGTCCCTCCACAAGGTTGACTCCTTTGTACTGTTCAGACACTTGACAAAAATGCATAACTTCACATCCCCAGTTAGCACAGATATGAAGCCAAGAATAATGAAGTCAATGACTTTGGCCAGGCATGAATCAGAAAGGAGGCTGTAGCTGCAATGTGTGTGTGTGAGTGTGTGAGAGACAGAATAGGAGACAAGATGATGTGTGAGGCTTGCAGCTGCTGTGAGGAGGGTGCACATTGTGTATTCAGTAAATTATTCAGTAAATACCGCGATATAATGTACACTACATATGTCCGGGCCTGTCTCTGTTTTTAATGGCCAGCTGGTCACCAATATGGCTCCCACACACAAAGAGTGGCCAAACAGCCGCACAATTCCATTACAGCCTGGCTGCGCTGAAGTAGTTCCAAGATCCATTCATTAATTGTCTGTGTGAAGTTGTAGGCAAATCATAATGGGAGTCAAGGCCCCTACTCTGGAGCTGGGGCTGGCGAGAGAGACTAATGTGGTCCCCATTCAAAAGGATACATCACCTCATTGCGCCCGGCAATAGAGAAATACATGAACTTTAACAAAAGGGGGTTCAAGCAATTGGCAGCAGCGAGGCAGTCGGTCGCTATTACTCAGTGCAGCGAGGAGAGAGGGAGCGAGACGGAGAGGAAGACAAAGGGAAAGCAGAGGGAGAAAACTCTGTGTAATTGCAACCCCTCTCCCCAACTGTTAACTACAACAGTCATTAACTACAATAGCAGCTTGGCTACTGCAGTCATAGCAAATTAGTTCCCCACACTGGCTGAAGAAAGGACCCATGTTTTCTTCTTTTTTTCCTCCACTGAAGTCTCACCTACCTACTCTGCTGCAGAGCACAGGACTCTTACTGTGAGATCCGGTCTATACCGACAAGCAGAACAGGGTTTGTAACTTGGAACGTCTCCAGAGAGTGATAAGTAGATCAAGGGAAACAGACAGAGGAAATGTGTTTGCATAGTTGGGAGAAAATGACCATAAAAGAGCACATATTTGTTAATCAGATTCAGGGCGACACACCTCGCACGCGATCTCACACAAACTGCTGCTCTCCGCCTCCCGAAGGCAGCCGGAAAACAATAGCATGGGTGTGACTGGATACAACGATAACAGCCATATTTTCATCTACACTATGTTGGTCCGTGACAGGAGCTCTTAACTCAAACACACTTAATTTGTTTTAATTTGGAGATGAAGGGAAAATCAAACAAAGGATGCTTATATTAAAACTGACAAGGTCGTATTTATGATTCAAGTTGCAACCCTGCAAACACGTGCATGATGGGAATTCACAGTTTTTTCTAGCAGACCTGGAATGATCTCTGCGCATACAAACCTCCTTTTACTTTGTTTGATATCTCAGGCAGACAGGTGCACACAGCTCATGTACACTTCATTCTATTTAAAAAATGAATACGTTTGAATGAAATAACACATTTTGATTCACCATTTGATAAAATAACACATTTTGATTCACCATTTGATTCACCCGTCTACCTATCTCAATGGGAATCGGTCCCTTTCAGGGGAAAAAAAAAAAAACACTCTAGTTCAACAGCACCGCTAACGAGACCAAACTTTTTCTGAGTGCCTCTCTCATTTACGCCTCCCTGGATTTTTAATTATACTGACGAAGAGCTCGGAAAGCTTCTCTCTCTCTCTCTCGCTCTCCATGTCTGACAGCCAGGTTGAGATTCCTCACCTGTCCAACATGGGAGCCGCACCTGTCACTGTGCACTTAATCACACCAGGGCCAGTGCTGAGCCCAGACGCCACACAGTGCCATGCCACACGCACATCCTGCGCGCAGACGCACACGCACACACACACAGAAAATTAAAATGAACTTTCTCGCAACCTACGGGGAAGAGGGTGGATGTTGATGATGGCGGTGGAGGTTTGGATGGGAGTGAGGTTGGTGCAGGGGGAGACGGATGGAAGGGGGGGAGGAGAGAGGATGGGCGGAGGGAGGGGGGGAGAAAAGTTGTCATTTCCCAACTGCTCATTAATATTCCGAGGTTAAGAGCTTTTCAGCGAAACGTAATTAATTGAGCCCGAGCCTGACAGTAAACAAGCAATTTCAAATTAAAGCGAAATGACAGCGGCGTCATTTGTTAAAAACGTGCGGGGGCCCCCGATTTTGGCGACAGATAAATGAGGGAAAATGTTAAGGAGGGAGAAAGTGATGAAGATATTAATCTTCACCTGTCTGTGTCAGCGTGCCACTCATTGCTGCAATGTTGCTCTCCATCCTCTGCAGATGCTTCTTGTCCTCTCGGCTGCCCATAATGAGGGGAAGGATGTATTTCTGCAATTAAAAGCATGGCACAACATCACACTTCTCTCTGGACGGAATGGGCAGAAGATGAAGAAAAGACAGCGCCACCTCGACTCGGCAGCAGAGGGTCAAAGGCATTGTCTTATTGGACTAGTGCCTCATTGTCTAAACTGCCTGATTAGGTAGATGAAGAGTATCCAAGCAACTGTTTGTTATTCTAAATGATCAGACTAATCTATAATGAATGTTTGTTATATGTTAGCATATATCTAATGTTATATGTATGTTATCCAGTGTGAGTGTTAACCAGATGAACAGCTTGTTAGTGTCTCAATGAATCCTTAAATAATGTGTGTGGAGCCGCGTGACCCTGTAGGGGCCCATTGAAAGACATACATGTCTTGTTTTAAGGGTGGAAGAGGATCGCTTAAACCCTCGCGGCCGGTTTGCAGCCCTCTGCTGCCTGAGCCAGGTTTTCGCTCCAACTCCGGTGGCAAGCAGCCACACCAGTGCAAGTAATAAACACTTTTCAGAGAAAAAGATTAAATGAGTGTCAACACGTAGTAATTAATAAGTGGGTTGCTGGGAGTGTGGTGTTTACAAGGTGCGCCATAACATAAATAAAGCACGGGCAGAAGCCTGGACATATGGTGCGACTGGCGCCGCGCTCCAGTGACATGACAGCAACCTGTGCCGTCCCGCCAGGGAATCCCACCTCCTAGGCGACCGGTGGCTGGCAAACCCTGCTGCACGTAGGAAACAGTGGACTGGTACAGTGTGTGTTCTCATCAGTGGAAATACCGCAGGGACATTGGAATAAAGGACAGGAGACCGGGAATGTGTAAAGAAGGATGAAATAATAGGACATAACTGGATCTATAGAGAAGCCAATATGTCCGACAGGGTCAGGTAGGCATATGCAAGTACATGATACGCGCTCCCTTTCTCTCTCTTGCACACACACAGAGGAGAACGGCCTGTCATCCGGGTCGAGAGCTACTGCTAAAGCTCCTGTCCTCCTCTAAAACGAGAGTAATGGCTTCCACATGCCACTCAGACTACTACTAACAACCACTATGGGATTAATGTCACCGGGGACAAGGGGCCTCATGAGCTCATGTTCAAGGGCTGCTAAGCCCGATAAAAACCAGGGTGATTATTTTTTAGACGGTAGGACGTCAAAAAAAAAAAATGTCTGTGTGCTGTGTTAGCAACTATATTTTTTTAAAGGAAAAAAAAAAAAAAAACTATTTGAGAGGAGGAGGGAAGGTTGAGTTAAAAAGAAGGGGTTCAAATGAGATCATGCTTTGACGTAGAGCAGGGCAGCTTTAATAACAAGACCAGAGTGATGTTACATACCGCAGAGGCGCCTTCTATTCTAGCACCCTCATTCATCATAAATGATGTACTTGCTAAGCCCACCAATTTTAATGTAATATCAGGGAGACAGTACTGACAGATCTTAGGATGCAGAGGATAATTTGTACAACAAATTTAAGAAAGATTAACTGTGAAAACAAAGTGAGTGAGGAAACATAGAGCAGGAGCAGCAGGGTGTAACTTACTCTGTAAAGCTGATGGAAGCCAAAGGCGATGCCCACCATGATGATGGTGAGGGCACCATAGTCTCTCCATCTGTAGCCTGCTGGACCTGGAGAGGAGGATAAATCACCGTAACTGAATGTGAAGTTTTAGCTCCAAAGTACAGTATAAATCACGTACACTACATACATTTCTGCTGACCATATTTGAATGCATGTAAGATTGTTTTGATGTACTTTTTTGTCACTCTTTGATTTTTCTCAATGCTACATAATGCATGGTTGCAAACTTTAGATGCAGATTAATATAACAGGTCTGCAATGCATTACCTTACTGTGATAATGTAACTTATGGTTGTTCTAATTGTGTAAAGGTTCTTTGTCGTGGATTAGACAACACTAGCACATTTTAAGAGTCCCCTAATGAATAAGAAGCCAGTCTGCCTGAAACATTCACCATCTCGTCAAAAACCCAGAAACGTGGTTTCCAGAATGATTACATTTGATGCTAAATATACACAATTTGTAGTGAATGCAAAATCACTGATGTGGTCCTCTTAGATAAAGAAAATGTACACAGTCTTTTAGCAATTTACTTGTACACTTAATGAGCACCATACAATAAAATTTATCTATTTGTGAGGTTTCAAATTCCATCTATTTATCCGTTTGTTTCCACAAAACGTCTGAACTATAAAGGGTAAACAAGCACTTCATTCTGCTCCTCCATAAAGAACACCTTAGTCTTCCACTTTTTGGGGGTTGGGCCTAATACAGTGTTTGCATATAAACCTTTAAACAACGAAACGCAGGCTGAAAGGTAAGAGTGTGCGTGTGTGTGTGTGTGTGTGTGTGTGTTTAGAAGTTGACTGCCTTGCTGAGTGACAGATAATGTGAAAGTGTGTCATTGTGCAAGCTGTCATCTGGGTAGGCCAACTGTCTGTCAAAGTGGAAATCCCCCACATAAGAGAGGCATTCAACTGAAAATGTCACTAAACAACAAACCGGTCTGGAGGAAATCTACTGTGTGAGGTTTTTCTCCTGTTTGCTGTTGGCGGGGCCCAAATGAATATGAAATTATTAGCGGCCAGGCCACTAAAGTACGCCACTGATATTCTATTACAGGTCTGATTTCACCTAATGGGTTATGTGGTACATGTTTACTTGCTTGAAGTAAGTAAACCAGATTGATCTCGTGCCTTACCACTTGTGTGATTTGACATGCAAATAAAATGAGAGACCCGCTGTCATATTGGACTACATGGTGTATATTCAAGGTGAATGCTATTCTATTCTCCTTGCTCAAGGCCAGGTTTCATTGCTGCTGCAGCATTCAGGGGTGAACCCGTGACCTTTACCATCGAAGGTTTTTGAGTCATTCTCCAGCATCCATATGGTAACCACATAAATTTGGGTCTTCATCAACATTATAGCTGCGACAGACTGTCACCTATCCCAGAATGCCGTGCTTCTGAGAGGCCTGGGAGTCCTTGGGATAGGCGGTTGACCCTGAACGAGCCTCACTGCATCACTGCCATGCAGAGGTCTTCACTTGCTCTTTTCCCCCCTGTTAGGACCCTTCATTCTTCCTCTATCTCTCTTTTTTCCTCTTACACTTCCACTCTGCCATCTTCCTTTTTTTATTTGGTCACTTAAGCTGTTGGAACTGTGGTATCCATCCCCCGTTTTTCCAATCTCCTCAAATTTATTGGGTTCAGTGGAGGCCTTCCTGTCCTTCTACCGCGTGGAAATAGAGATCAGAGTATCCATTACTTCGACAGAGATGGATGCGGGTCTCTGTGCACCGTCCCCATAACAAGGACATCAAAGAGAGGTAGCCCCCTCTTTTCAGTGTGACCCCCCCATACAAGACTCCCCGCTCTCTCCTCATTATGCAGGTCCCTTATAGCCATTTTGATATAAAACCCCCCACTATCGACAGAGAGCCGCGAGTCTCCCTAACTACATGGCCATCCCATCAACATCACTTTCATTACAAAACATGAGATGCCAGGGGAGTCAAGGACAGGGTGGTAATAAATGAGGGTGGAATACATCTGGAATCATTGTCATATGGGTTAAGCATTACGCGGACTTCATTCTGCATTGGTAAATCAGTGGACAGCACTCATAACCTCCTGAGGTAATAAAGATACAGGTTGCGGCGTGGGGTCTTGCCAGCGTGGAACCCCTCGAAACAGAATGACAAGAGACTTCACGAGCTTGTGCGGTGCAATGTCATATCCCTGTATCTGAATTCACAATCAAGGCAAATGTTGTACGGCATGCATGTCTATAACACTTGTAAAGATCCTGCTATTTGGCGAGCTACCGATAATCCCGTTTAATGGGTTTAAATTAATAAAACCAAAAAGGGAAGATCTCTCTCTCTCTCTCTAGGTAAAGCTGAAGAAAGGCTTTACATTTTAAATTAAAGTTCTTTTTTTTCCAGGTGAGACAGCGCACATAAAATATTAATACTATTTATATGCACCAGGTATCAACGGGGAGAAAAAGGGGCGTGTGCACTCACTATGTGGTGCAAGCGCCAGCTGAGTTGCATGGAGTGGATGTGGGGGCCCCACAGGGCTCACAGGCAGGACTTCTTCTGTGCTGCCAGAGCGCTGGATGGCCAACTCCACCTCCTCATCCCTCAGCCCTGGAATCAAGACACACACACTTTAAGACATTCAGAGGAGGCGAAGTGACTGCGTGTTAATGGGAAACACCAAATGGCTCCTTGGCTATCATAATGTACGCTTAAATACTTCCCAAGCTGCCCACAAATCTTTTAAGTACAATTTAGAGAAAGTATGACAAATCTTCATTCAATTTTACTTTCCCTCTTCTCAAAAAATACATTTTCATTTCATAATTCAGAAATTCCACAGAGAGTTTCCATTTCAGGGACATCCATCAGAAGGAAGATAGTGTGGAAAGGTTCACACAATGAAATCTGAAACTCTGCGAGCCTATTAACTGCCACCAAAGGCAAAGAAAATAAGAGTCTGTCCACTTCTCCAGTTATATTTCCCATGTGGAGATTTCATACACCCCAGACAGCGAAAATGCATTATTTTAATTTCTTCATTGTAATGTAAATGTATTACATAATTTTGCAAATGCCAATATAATTTAATCTTCAGATCTTTTTAATGATTTTAGTGATGATTAAATTGCAAAGGGCTCCCTGATGGAGAATCTGATGGGAGGAGGAAAAAAAAATCTAATATGAACATCTCCTTTTGTGGCAAGAAAGGATTTTATTTCAGGCGCCATATGCTGCCATTGCTGTGGGTCTCATCTTTTAATGAGCGACTCGGTCTAAACAAAGGAGAAATAATTACAACTTTTGATGAACTACATTCAAAAACAACATGAACCAATTTGCAGAAAAACAATTATAAGAAATATGAAGACAAAGAACCAAAACTGTTAAATACAGCAGTTCTTAGACACTGATGAGCATGATTCACCTTATGATGAAAAACCAGAATAATCTTTATCATCATGTTTTTGCTCATTGTGGACCAACAATGCGTCTTCTCCCGAACATCTCGCCATTACTTCCTTTTGCCATTTCCCTTGCTTATTGACAGATTTGTAAGAGAGCCTTTTACTTGAACTATTCCTGAAGGATTTAGAGAGTTTACACAAGCTCAGAATAAGCTTCCTCCGTCCTTTGAGAGAAATCGAGCAATTGGAAAAGGTTCCGTTGCAGTGTTTCAAGAGATGACTCAACGGTTTCATTAACAGTAAGAGCACAGAGCCAGAACCTCATACCTCTGCTACGGACCTCCAGAGTGGTCTTCACAAGAAAAGCACACAGAAACACCCTTGTGGAGTACTAATAATATAAACTGTGTAAGCATGTAGAACAGAACTTTCCGTTTTGCAAGGTGGATAAGATATAACCAAATCAAATGATTCCTGCCATTTGAATAATCCGAGTAGCTGGTTGAACCTTGATCAGAAACACCACTCTAACCTATCCCCAAAGCCCAAAAGCATAAAGAAATCCTTTGATAATCTACCACACAGTTTATGCCAAGAGGAGGTCCCTCCTGTCACCTATTTAAATGCTCCGAGGACTTCAAATGGTCATGAAAATTGTTGAATAATTGAAGGCAAATATTGGCCGGCCTGTAGTCTACAGCAGGTCCTGAGTGCCAGGAAGTGGTGAGCACCATGTGCTGAGTTTGTGCAGTCAGACTGCACTGTCAAATAAGCAATAATGTGTCCCCGGACTCCTGATTCATCTGACCACAGCAGACTCCATGGTGGCAGACTATTGAGTGAGACATGCAAAGATCTCAGTTTCACCGAATGAGAAGAAATAAAAACGTCAGCTTCAGGTTTTCTCCTTTCACCTTGAAATGAAAGTCTTTTTTTTTTTTTTTAAATCCACATTTATGCTGCTATAGAGCATTAATGTATGTACACCTTAAAGGCTGTTCACATCTTTGATGTTGTTTATGCAGCAAATGAAAGGTTTTTGTCCCTTGCTTCAGAATAAAATACATGGAAATTCCTAAAGCTGTTTACTAGTCAAATTACAGCTTGTTAAGTTGTGTTGCATGCTCTGATCTGAAGGACAAGAACGAATGAAAGAGCCCTCAGATCCAAAAGAAAAGGGAACGAGAAGAAAGTGAGTTTTACATATAAAAGGAAAAGACAAAAAAGGGATTGTGAAATTTATTATGAGTTCCAAAACCTGTGGAATGACCCCTGGACCCCCATTTCAGATCGTCGTGTGGGGAGATGAATTTTTTAAGACATAAATTACACCTAATGATGACACCATAAAAAAAGAACAATAATGGAAAGCTATTCTGTATTTCATTATACTGTATTATTTGGTGCACCTGATACACGCAGTGCCTGTTTATGAGTCACCGTATTAGCAGATGCTCAGCCAAAGCATTTGCTTTGACCTTGCCATTCTCATTGGGGCATGAAATTACGGTGCTGGCACCTCGATATTACAGCTATAAATACTGTAAACTGCATATCTGGGCTACGTTTTCTATTGTCTTTCAACATAAACCTGATCGGTATTTATTTAAAGGAAAACCCATTGCTCGTCGGGTTATTTACAGCTCTATTTTCAGTGGCTCATATTCTCTGGGTATTTTTAAAGGGCAAAGAGGCAGCAAGGCTCTTACATTAAATCCATTTCTCCAATTCTGGCACTTCTGGACTTTATGGGTCAACACCCAGGCCGGACAGACAATTATAAAAATTGCTTACTAAAATATTTTGTGTGGTAAAAGGTGAACGCCTTTTTCACTGTCACCCCCCCAAGGCCTGAATTATGAAGTTGTCCTTGAGTGAAAATTACTTACATTTTGAATATCGTATGTAGAAAGAAAGGCATGGGTCATAAATAGATGGAGGTCAATGGCTTATTAACAGGTCGAGTTCAGCGTCTCATGCCGCGCCGGCCGAGGGAGATTCTACATGTCGTTTGGTTCGGTACAACTGCTTGAAAATAGCGTGCCCTAAATAATGACCACTCTCATAGAGTATTCATTTATGTATTAAAAAGGGGGACTCTGCTCTCATTTCCCTACTTTATCGCCTTGTACTGATGACAAAGTAGGCAAGGCCTAGGCTAGGTGGCGCCGTGGAGTAATTTATAACCACATCAATCCCTTTACCTTCTATGCAGGCCTTGGTCATTGTCATTTTTGTCCGAGAGGTGAGTCGCATAACCCCACTTACAAACAGCATCCTATTAATATCTGGGATGATGAACCTTACCCTTACCTTCAAACCAGGTATGGTAATAGACCAACAGCCTACCTATGTTCCCTGTGACCCTCGATCACTGGCCCTCTACTCAGGGTGAAATCTATTAGCATTATTTATTCAACTCAATAACAATTGGGATGGCATGAAAAAGAAATAAGTCAAGCCATCATTTATGTCACACTGACAGAGAATGTACTGTGCCTGTAATGCATTTAATATTGTATTAAACTGTAATGCGGCAATGTACGGTATGTGTACTCTCTGTGCTTTACTTCCCCAAACAAACTGCACTCAGTTTGGTAATGTGGGAGCAGCTGAGTGATGTCGGTTTAGGGGCCACGGTCAAAGTGACATGTTGAAAGGTGGAAAATGTTGTTGACTTTGTCCTGCGAATTTGATTTTTTTTTTTTTTGGTAATTATGTGTGCAACTGCTAATTGTCTGGGCTTAATGATGGTGCCAAAATGGGGCCCCAACGCTCTTTAGTTGTTACATCTGTTAATTGTAGAGGACATAGATGGCACAATTCACGAGATGAGATTGGAGCACATTATATTTCACTCAAACACAATAAAATTTACTAGATCTTGGCAAGGAACAAGTAAAGCTAAATTGTTTCAAGATGGCTGCAAGACAATTTAAATGCAACTCATTTCCCGTCTCCTCTACAAAAGAAAGAAAGAAAAAACAAAAACAACATCTGGGTTTGAATCTTGATTTATATTAGATCTAAGTGACAAAGTTTCAATATTTCAGCCAGTTTATTCAACAAGGACTCAAGAAGGGCAGCGAGAAATATTGGACTGCATAATTGCCAATTCATACCCTCGAATTGACAGTTGAAGGAAAACAGAAAATTATATTTTTCCAATGAATATTGAAATAAACCACACTATTAGGATCTCTTTGGAAAAAAAACAAGATGTAACTAGAGAGGCATCCTTCAGTGCAGATTAGGGCTCAAATGTACCGGGAAATAATATGCAGGAGCGGGATTATTGTGTAAAGATTCTGCAACATGCAATCAAAGTGGGCCCTATTTTCCCCTTCATCAGCTGTCCAGCGTAAGTACTGGCAGCAAGAGGAATCCAATTTAAAATCCACTCTACCGGGAGATGGTATTGTTTCATTTTATGTGTGCTTTGACATTTCTGGCTGTTAATATAGAGTAAAATCCAGAAGTATTTACATAAATATGACATTAAACTGTATTAGAAATTAAGACTGACGTATCTGCTGTGGTGACTGTGGGAGGAGGAGGATGATTGAGTTTCTAGGTCAAAGGGTTGAGAGGACAATGCATGCTAGGTGCACAAACAAGGGAACTGTGAGTTCTGGCCTGCTGCTATGTCTACGCAAAAAGCCTAATATGGCTTAAGTGAGACAGAAAAGGAAGCAACTAATCGGCAACCATGACAGATCATGTTCTATTACTATCTTATATCACCGTGTGAACATTGTTATGGAGGAAAACTGGTCATTTGAACAACAAACTTAAATTTGACTCTTGATTTATATCCTTTTAGACTATTTGTTTACTCAATGAAACTCAGTTATATAATTATTACAATAGAAATCGTCAAGGTGGACCTTACCATACGGCCTTTTACGGACATCATTTCCTGTAACATAAAGCATTTATAAATTCTGCTCTCACATTGAAATTAGTGTGTAGAAACACTTTCCTGAGACGACTCAAGGAAAGCTCAATATTAAACGCACAACATTTCCAGGTTCGCTGTGTGACTGTACCATGCAAGTCCAGAGTTATCCCATGAATACTGCAGAGTGCTACTCAAATGTAGTTTGTGCTTAGTGTTTCATTGCTCTGTTGTCTCTCATTATTTACCCTCTCCCTGAGATCAATGCCTTTATGCAAATCGAGGGTTCTTGTTTGGATGTACAGTGGAAACGGACTTTCCGAAATGAATCTGTATTAAAGAGTCATACATATTTCATGGACTTAAAGTGCAGTAAGAGCAAACCATTTTGGAAAGCGGCGCTCCGCGGAGTTTACAACAAAGACGAAAGTAAAGATGAAAACGTGGCGTAGTATGACATCATTTGGTATTGATGAGGCCTTATTACATTTGAGATGTCCGACAGTAGATTATGAACATGCCTTAGTTGCCGATAATGAGACACAAAGACAAAGAAATTTCAAAAGATAGAGAGTCATTAGAGCCACATGAGATGCGTGTCGTAGCAGCCGGCAACCATGGATTTGGTTTCGGGTTACCTTCCCCTGTCATGGAGCTTTTAGGCTCACTTTTCATTGTTTGGCTACTCTAATGCTGGAGGCAAAGTCCCCCAGCACTGCAGAGGTACAGTCCCCCAAGTACACAACTGTGAACGGCAAAGAACTGAAATAAAAAATACTCACCACAAAGAGCTTCTCGGAGAGAAAGCCACACACTCTCTCTCTCTCTCTCTCTGCTCAGCCACAGGCCCATGTGAGAAATACATGGCGTAACGCTGCACATTTCCCCCGCCGCTATATATTGAACCTGACTTTAAATGAGTTCGGAGTAATAAAGCTTTTTTGCAAGTTTTATTGCACAAACAATGTGTCAGAAATAATCTCAATGAATTGCAAATAAACTGAAGAGCCAGCAAACAATTCCGCCATCCCTGCTTAGAAAACCTCCTCCGTGTCAGGCCTCAAATTTACGATAACAGTTAAATTAAGTAAAAGGGTTAAAATGCTGGAAGGCAATATTGATAATTCCATTGAAAATGCAGAGGGAGTTTGTCAATATTAATTTTCCTGAACCCAAAGGAGCATCCCAACTGGTGTGTCATTTATTCACGGGCCTGAATCATGCACTCTGAAGCTGAATCGACCCCTGTTAGACCCCCAGGGCAAAGAGCTACAGCCACAACCTTTGACCCTTATAGACTAATCTTGCCAACAAAAAAAAAAAAAAAAAAAAAAAAAAAAAAAAAAAAAAAAAAAAAAA